AAAACAACCACAAAGAGACGCAAAACAACCACGAAGGGCAGAAAAAAAATAACCACAAAAAGATGCAAACTGACAACAGATATGCATAAAAAGAACATATTACAAAAAATAAACAAAAATAGACACAAAAAGAACTGCAAAATGAAACAAAAAAGTCCCCTCAAAAATGTGTAACAACTGCTAAGAGACACACAGGAAAAGACACAAAACAACCATAAATATGCAGAAAATTATCACTGAGACACAAACTGACCAAGAGAGACACAAAATGAGCTACAAAAAGACACAGAACATCACAAAACTACACATTAAATGGTCACTGAGATGATCAAAAGGATGCACACATCAGCCACAACCACAAAAAGAGAAAAAACAAGCACAAAAATGTACAAAAAAAATCTCACAAAAAGATAGACCCGCCTCAAAAAAATATGTAAAACAACCACAGATATGCATAAAATGATCCCAGAGGCAAAGGAGACACAAAACAGTGACATAAAGACACATAAAACCACAAAGAGACACACAATGACTATAAAGAGATGAATCTGAGCTGATCTGTTCACAGACTTCTTGTTTCTTGTCAAAGTGACTCTTCAAAGCTGAACATTTCTCCAACATCCAACGTAGCGACTAACAAACAGCTGCCTTCTAATGTCCTGCACCGCCTCGACTGAAGCTTGAGTTTCGGGTGAGTGTTTCTTACTGGCGATGCTGTTCTGGTGTCCACTATGGCTGAAAACTGTCTCCAGCTCTGAGAAGCTCGTCCAGGCTTCGGCTCGGGAGCTGAAGCCCTTCAGGTAGGTCGTGTCAGCAGTCGGGCTGAGGACGGACAAACAAGCAGAAGTAACAAACACCATAAAATACTTCAACGTCACTGCAGTGGGAAAGTCTGACGAGTTCAGCGAAGATCTGAAAAAGCAAATCACTGACTGGAACGAGTCAAGAAAGTCACTTGGCAGCTTCAGATCCTCAAATCATCCGTAAAAACCTTCTGTTTGTCAGCATAAGGTTCATGGTACGGTTGTGTTATCTGCCACGATCAGGACGAAAACACAAACTACCACCTGCTGCTGAGAGACGATTGGTCAGGACGGTCAAGAGTCAACCAGGAATCACCAAACAGAGGTTCTGAATGAATCAGAAGCTGCTGGAACACAACTGTCAGTGTCCACAGTGTTTTACATGAACATGAGCTGAAAGGCTGGATGAAGAAGGAAGTTCTTCCTCTAGAAACAGAACCTTAAAGCTCCACTGAAGTCTGCTGCTGATCACATGGACAAAGAAAAGGCCTTCTGGAGGAAAGTTCTGCGGTCAGATGGAACAAACACTGAGCAGAAACATGCTTGGAGGAGAGAAGTTGAGGCCTTTAACCCCAAGAACACCAAAACCTACCATCAAGCACGGCGGTGGCAGCATCATGCTCTGGAGCTGCTTTACACAAAGTGAGTGGAATCATAAAGGAGGAGGATCACCTCCACATTCTTTAGGTAAACCTAAAACCATCAGCAGAAGGTTGATCTTGGACCCAGTTGGGTGTTTCAGCAACACAATGAGTCCAAACACACAACAAAAGAGGTAAAGAAATGGTTCAATCGGATGAGAATGAAGGTTCTAGACGTCCTGACTTAAACTCATCAAGAGCCTGAAGACTGATGAAGAAACAAATCTGTGCTTGAAAGACAGCAAATTTTGTTTAAATGCACCAATTGTGGAATCAAAGATACAATCACAATCTCATAGATGGCTGCAAGAAGAGACGAGCTGAGGTGAAAATGGCCAAAGCATGTGTCAACAGATATGAACATTTCTGATCCAGCAGATTGAGTCATATTTCCAGAAGACCTGGAATAAATCTATGAAAGAAGATTCACGCGTTTCAGTGATTCCATCATAGAAAAATCAAAATCATAGTCGTCACTGGAAACTCAACACACATTTAGTCTTTACATGTAAACTTTTGCTCACGACTGTAAACTCAAATTTCAATGTGCAAAAAAAATGTACTGAAGGTCGGTTGACAAAAAAAGTGATTTATCAAGCTAACATTTCACAGATACCATTTTAAATATAAAGAGTTCATGATCAATTTTAAAAAGTTTCAAGTAAACCAGAGGCCAGAGACCAGAGACGGCCCCTGATGGTTGAAGATGGAACATCGTACATGAAGTGTTTGGTTTCACCTTTTGCGAGTGTAGCGCAGGTTCGGCTCGAGTTCGGACACACTGTTCAGGTCGACACACTGAAGAGCGCCATCGATAGCGTTTCGCCACCTGAATTAAAAACAAGACAGACTCACAGTCCAAGTTTGTGCCCCTGGAATCATCTACAGACCTTAAAACACCTTCATTAGTCCTGAAATGCCAACGAGACAAAAAACAAACACAAAAAGGACACAAAATCACTGCAAAAAGACAAAACACAACCGCAAAAACAAACACATACATGACCACAGAACAACCACTAAGACACAAAAACAGCAACAAAAATACCCAAAACTATCACAATGAAACACAAAACAGCTACAAAGACGAAGCACCTGCTCGACACATACTGACCACAAATATAAACAAAACAACAAACACAAAAAAGTGACAAAGCAACCACAGTGAGACACAAAACTGCCTCAAAAAAGACACAAAGCAACTGTAAAGAGACACACACTGACCACAAACAGACACAGAGACATAGAAAACAACACGAGAATGACACAAAACTGTCCCAAAGACACAAAGCAAAAAACTAAATAAGTACAAAGAGACACAAACAACAAGAAAACGTGCAAAACATCCACAAAAAGACGCTGAAAGGACAAAAAGCAACTGCAAAACAATACGATACAGTCATAAAAAACTACAAAACGATCACACAGAGACGGAGCAAAGACACAAACAACCACTAAGAAGCCCAACAGAACTCCACCAGGCTGCACTGATCAGTGCTATGAGCTGATCGGCTGATGGTTCGTCTGCTTTCAGGCTTCTACGTGTTTGGGAAGCTTTTTTTTACCTGATGAGTTGCTGCTGACGCTGCAGCTGTCGGAGTCGGTGCTGCTGCAGCTTCTCTTCTGTCTCGTCCTGCAGCAAACACACTGTAAACAACAACAACAACAACAAATTACTTTAACAAAAAATGAATGAAAGGTCACAACAAACATTAAGAAATGTGATAAAATATAATAAAACATTATTTAACGATAATATAACATTAACAAACTTAATTTAAAAAAAAAAAAATTTTTTAAACAATGAAACATATTAAACATAAAATGTTGATAAAACACTAATAAAAGATCATAAAACATGAAGAAATGTGACAAACCTTATGAAGCACAAATATGAACTAAATACTCTTAAACATAGTTACACATTAATAAAAAAATAAATAAATATGCAGAATTAATATTACATAGTAAAACATTTTAAAAAATGCTGAACAATAAAAAATTTAAGAAACTCTAATAAAACACAACAACACCTTTTAAAAAAAATCCATACACCTAATAAAACATTATTATAACAAAAAAAAAACATAATTTTGATTTTTTAAAAAAACAACAAAAAACAAATGAACAAAACTAAATAATAATAAAACATAATTAAATATGAAAAAAACTTAATCAACTTCTGACAAACACTGATGAATCACTAATGAAAATATTAATCAGCGTATTAAAGTATTAATAAAACAACAAAACAATTAAGAAAATAACATGTATAAAACATTAAACTTTTATAACAGTGGTAAATAAATAATGCAAATATTATTAAAAATAATAAATAAGAACAGAATAAACACAACAAAACGTCATTAAAACACTGATGAACATAATTAAGCTTTAACTAATCATATAACTAATGAACAAAAGTAAATATTAATAAAACATTAAACACAACAGACTCTCAAAAAACTCAAAAAATAAATAAATAACAGACATAATAAACCAATAACAACAGCAATACTATTAATAACAACAACAATAATTATAATAATCAAAGTGATCTTACACTTCCCAGTCCTCAGGTCCACGTCTTCGTCTGCTGTTTGCAGCCACCTGTCGCACAGGAACACCTGGGTTTGTGACTCCGCCCCCTCCTGTCCATCAGCCAGCCCGCGGACCTCCACCCGGCTGCAGTGCCAGTCCAAGGCGGGGAACCCGGGCCGAGCCTCCAGCCGGAGCCGGACCAGAACCAGACGACCCAGAGGACCGTTGACCCGAACCCGAACCGGACACACCTGTGAGTGAACGCAGCTTGACTCAGCAACGATAAAACGACCACAGAGACACAAAAAAACACAAGAAATGTTCGAAACAGCTGAAAAGAAACACAAAACAACCACAAAGACACAAAGCAACCAAAAACAGACAACAAACAACTAATGTCTCAAAATACCTACAAAGAAACACAAAACAGCCACAAAAAGACACCAAACAAATGCAAAGAAACACAAAATGACACAAAATTGCTACAAAGAAACAATAAAACAACTGAAAACAGACACTAATCCACCAAAAATAGAAACAAAACAACACAAAGTAGCTACTAAGAAACCAAAAACAGCTACAAAATGACACAAAATCGCTTCAGAGAGATACGAAACAACTAAAGGAAGACACAAAAGAATGACTAAATAACCCAAACTAGCTACAAAGAGACAAAAAAACAAACACAAAAATACACAACATTGCTGTAGATAAACACAAAACAACCACAGACACACAACAACCAAAAACAGACACAAAACAACTTCAAAATGAGACAAAGTAGTTTCACAGAAACACAACACAAGCACGCAGAGACACAAAAGAACCATAAAGAGACACAAAACAACTATAAAATGACACAAAAGAACAACAAAATGACACAAAGTAGCTACAAAGAGACACAAAACAATGAAAAAAGTAATACTAATTGGCTACAAAGAATAACCAAACAACTGAAAATAGACACAAAACAACCAAAAATAGACACAAAAGAACAACAAAATAACACAAATTAGCTACAAAGAAACAATAAACAACCACAAACACAACTTCAAAATTACACTAAATAGCTTCAAAAATAAAGAAAACAACCAAGAAGATGCAAAACAACAATAAAATGACACAAAATTGCGACAAAGAAACAGAACAATTGAAAATAGACACAAAAGAACAACGAAATGACAAAAATAAGCTACAAAGAAACAACTACAGAGATTCGAGTTGGGCCTGAGATTAAACTTGTTTTAAAATCTCTTCATAAAACTACGGTATCCGCTGTCAAATATCCATCTCGTTGTTATTTCTTTCAGATTTCTGTCTTCGAACGTCACGGTAAAGCATCGCCGGGAGCTCACCGATCCCGGCAGCAGACGGCGCTCGCCTTCGTTCACGCTGAGGGGCGGAGTCTCCCCCTGAGAGCCAATCAGGCTGAGCCACAGGCGGCTGAAGGTTCCACAGGTGGGACCAGGTGAGGTGTGAACACTCACTTCGAACTCGGACATAATGATGACAGAGATGCTGAAGACACAGAGACCGAGATTGTTGATTCATTTTTTTCATTTTACGGCTATTTTACAGATTTTTTCACTTTTTTTTTTACAAATTAATTTATAGGTGATTACTGGGAAAGTCACAGAAAAAAAGATGTTATTGCTCTGGTTAACTGGGAACAAACAGGACAAAACTGTCAATAATTTCCATTAAAAAAGTTTGTATTTTTTACTAAAGGTAATTTGTTCTTTTACAATGATTGATTGTAAAACTGAATGAACAAAAATATGATTATTTTTACAAATATTTTACATTAGTATGGAAGAAAAAAACTGATTTTTCCTGTTTTGTTAAATGGCGGACAATATTTTGTGAAATCAAATTTAAAAAGCAGTAATTTACATGTTGACTTTAAAAACAAAACAACAAATAAACAACAACAAAGAACAGGCAGAATCAAAACTCTGTTAAAAAATAAAATAAAATCAGTTTTACAATATTTTACCATAAAATAATAATTCTTCTTGTATTTAAATCAGCAAAAAATCTGATTATTTTACAGATTACAGATATTTGCTTTTGTTTAAAAGAATTAAAGGAAATCTAATGATTTTGTTACAGAAAAACAAATATAAAGTGTAATAAGGATTTTAAAACTGGATTTCTTTTTTTAAAAAAATTATTTTTTTTCTTTTCTTTTCTTAAAGATAATAACTATAGTAAGGGAAAAATATCAAAATCTGCCAACTGAATTGTTACCAAACAACTTCTTCACCAATATGTTTGTAAAGGTGTAATAACATGCCTTAAAATGTTGAAGTTCAACTCTGGTGGGAAACCCTGAAAAACACCTGCTCAAGTTAGGGTACCGATAAATGATTGATGAAAAATCGATTTTTTAAAAATCGGGCCTTAAGTAAATTATGAGGGTCAAATCAGGGTTTGTTCAGGATTCTGAGTTGACTGTTAGCATTTATATTTCACCACAAACACTTCTTTGTTGAAAAAGACCACACTGGAGGCAACAGTGCTGCACCGAGCCACCTCGCAGCC